CACTGCTGTGCTCACCAATTGGCTCTGTGGTAATGTAGTAGTGGTGGGGAATGTGGTTAAAGTCCAATTTCTGGCCAGATAGAACAGGTTAGAGCAAAGGGATAGATCACATGTCTTCTGTCACCAATCTCATGGTGATACCATGGCTGTCATCTATCACCAATCCTGTGGTATTGGAGCAGGTAGTGACACTAGCCCAGGTGGCGGCAGGTGTGGTAGGTATGGCTAGACAAGGTTGCTGACTCCCAACTTATGGGGGGAGGAGGTGGGGGTGTAGTAACACAAGGAGAAACAAGGGAAGTACTAAGAAAAAAAAAAGTGGTCCAAGTCTAAGGGAAAAAAAGTGTTTGAAGCATAGGCTGCCAGACACAGCTGCAGTGGACACATGATGCTTGTTCACAACTGAGGGGTGAGAGAGACACTGCAAGTGCAGTGGGGCACCCTCCCTGGGGGGGCTGCACTGCTGCCCATGTAAGGGAAGCAGTTGAGGGGCAGGGACTTCCAACAGTGGAAGCAGAGGGGCACGGGGCCTGCTCCACAGAAGTGAAAAGAACTGGTGGGCGGAGGAGGAGGAAAAAGGAAAGAAACCAAGAGGGGAGAGGAAGTAACTGTGAAGAAAAGGACACAGTCCTGTCACAGCTGCAGTGACAACTGGGCAGTCACTGTGCAGGATCAGAACGGGAAATGCAAGAGGGAGAGGAAAGAACTAAATGAGGCCCACAGAAATCCAGCAGGACGCTATTGGCAGGAGTGCAGCACTCACCTGTGCAGGTGTGCTGTGTGGGTCATGGAGTGCCTGGTGGGCACTCAGGACATGGCGGGCAGGACAGCCTCTCATTTTAAAAGAACAAAAGTAGGGGAATAGGGAAGAACTAAACAGACTTTTTTAAAAGAAAATATTGCAGCCCAGCACTGGGGCATTGGGTTGGGGGCGGGGGCTGAGTTGGGGGGGTGGAGGCTGATCTTTTTCAGAGTTTGGAGGACCCACACTTCTGGTCCCCAGGTGATGGGTCCAGGACAGTGGGAGGTATGCCACTGCTGGGGTTGTCAATCACCAGGTGCACTGGTGCATCCCTAGGCAAGCAGAGGCCCTTCTCTGGCTCCCGGCCTATTAGAACACTGCTCATGATCATTCCAAAGGACTGCATTGTGCTGGGCCCGTTGACAATTCACCAGTCCATATGCCTCATTGTTCGTGATTTTTATTCAGTCTCTTCCTCTAATCAGGATTTATATGTCTTTATCTGTTTCTTACAGCCTTTCTTATCCTTTTCTCATACCTATATCCTTTTATACATCTCTGTCCTTTTTTATCTGTTCTGTTGAAGCGCTCAGTTCCAAGATTGTTGTCCGTATTTCACTTGGTCTTTCAGTGCTGTACTGCAGAGTAGCTAGAGCAGCGTCTCCCATAGTGGGTGGTACCAGCCCCTGGGGTGGCAGCAAAAGCAGACACCTATGCTTTACCCGGGATTGTGGGCAATAGTACAAGACTTTC